TTCGTTCTCCGTGCCGTCAGAATGGAGGCCGTCCCATCGTTCCCCTGTCTTCCTCAGCTCCCTCCTAAAACGACTACGCTCTTTAAGCGAGCACCGCTGGGGCCAGAGCGTACATATTATAAGGGGAGAGGACGAGAGTGGCTAAAGGAACATTTCAACTCTGACCCAGACGCCTTTTGAGGGAAGGAGACGAAGCAAAAGCGTGAAACCGTATCTCGCGCGAGATCTGCTGCTAGACTCTTACATCCCCCTCCCCCTCCCACCCCTCTTCGTTCCTTTTCGCCTTTTCCTCTATTTTTTTAACGACAAGGCCCGGCATCCCCCAAAATCATGTCGGCGTCAACGACCAGCACGACCAGCACGGCCTATGCGCAGGCGCGAAGGCGACAAAGAGGTGGAGGAGGAGACCGGGATGCCATGGGCAACTCAACATCTGGTGTAGAAGCCAAGGTCGTCGTTATGGGAAGCGCAGGTTCGTCTCTCCATCCACCTCATCAGCATCCCTGTCCATTGACCGTACTCTCGACCACTTTAGGAGTAGGCAAAACGTCCTTGGTACAACGCTACACCACAAACACCTTCAGCAGCACCAAAATCGCTGCCACTGCCGGCGCCTCATTTCATGTCAAGAAAACCATCGTGAACGGCGTGCCAGTTCGACTGCAGCTATGGGACACAGCTGGTCAAGAACGTTTTCGGAGTCTCGTGAGTTTCTCATACTTTTGGATTGCATTCACGACTGGGGCAGCCCGAGGTGGCGGCTTGCTTACCCTGCATTACCGGCATCTCAAAACAACCGTAGGCTCCAATGTACTACAGGGGCGCCCATGCCGCCGTCCTCGTCTACGACATCACGAACCCCTCATCCTTTGAGGACATTCGTGTCTGGCTCGAAGGTATGTGTGTGAGAGCCGTTCATCCACTTTAGCGAGACGTCCCTTCCCTCCTCCCACTTGCCGTCCCGAATGCCCGAAAGACCCCTATTCGGGCAATTTATCTGGGCCTCTGTGCTGACTCGATCGAGTTATCTCTCTTTTGGACTCCGATTAGAACTCAAGAAGAACATTCCACCAGAATCAGAAAATGACATGATCATATACATTGTCGGAACTAAAGTCGACCTCGCGCCCAAGCAGCGAAAAGTCACTCCCCAACGCGTTTTTGATGCCTTGGTCGAATGGTTCCCCCCGCCCAAGCCACCAACACCCCCACCTCAGATTTCAAATGCTTTGGTTCCATATTATGGTACGTAATTGCGGCCATCAGCACGCATGTTTTCGGACCGATGGCGGGATTCTGACGAAAAAACGACTTGTTCGCGCTTAGGTCCAACCTACTCCTTTGGTCAATCTTCATCAATTTACTTCCCTCCCCAGCTCTCTTCACTATCAACATCCGTTTCAACTCATCTACCCACTCTTCCATCATTCAACCTTGGCTTACCCAGCCTAGACCAAATTCGACCGCGATTTTCGTCCCTTACTTCGGCGCGGCCGGCCGGCAAGCTCGACCGGCCAGGCGAATCGCCCACCGGAACAGATTCAACGGGCGTTGCTACTACGACAACTACTGCGACGGCATCTTCGGCCGTGACGGCTGGAACTTCCTCATCAAGCTTTATGCCTGCACCTATTGCATCGCCCACAGGCTCTCGATTCGCCATGCCTCGTTCCACTACGACGTCAGCTGTTCCGAGCATGTCAAATCTGGGTTTGAACGTTAATATGACTGGCTCAACATACAACTCTGGCTTCACGCGGGCTGCAAACGGAAATACCGGCAACTCAGATCCTAGCGCAGGTCCCCCGACAAGCAGTTCGTCCTTCCACGATAAGAAAACCCCCCCAATTCTTGTGGAATTTCCAAGTAGTGCTAATTCAGAAGCGCCTTCGCTTGTCCGTCGCAACACTGCTGGTCCCGGTCCGTCAATTTCCGCCGGTGGGACACCCAGCAGCACTCCTGCAGGTGCAGTGGGAATGAGATCAAGCAGGAGTATGAGCAGTCGACCTCCTCCTGCAGCAAACCTGCAAGCACGGTCGAAGCTAACATCTTGCATGTCGGATGATGAAGATGCGCAGCGTGGCAGGGAACGAAGGCCTATTGCGTATCGGAGGTTCAACGAAGTGGAACAAGTTGGACCCAGGCGGTATGGAGGCCACGGCGGAGAATCCAGCTCGGGAGACGAGCTCGATCGGACGAAGGATCAAAGGAGTAGTGCCAGCCGCCTGAAAAAGGAGAGGGAAAAGGAGCGAGAGGAAAGGAGGAAGAAGGAAGAGGCGGACCGAGCTGCCCTTCTGGGGCAAGATGACGATGATTCCGACGATGAGGACATTCGCCCGTGGGGATTCTCCAAAGAGCTTGAGGTGCGCGAAGTTTCGGCTTTGGACGGTCGAGGTAAGATTGAGCTTGAACCTGTTCTTTTCGAGTCGTGGCTCTGACACGACATTGAATCACTTCAGGCGTGGAAGACCTTTTTGGGTCCCTCCTAGAAGCAATCATCAAGCGCCGAGACTTTATAGAGACAGAACGAAGGCTACGGGAACGTAACTCGGTTATGTTGAATGTCCCAACGTCTGTCCCTACATGGGGCACCCTTCCGGAAGAAGATGATGGCGCTGGTGACGACACTGGCAAGTCGAAAAGGAGCAGCTGGGGTGGTTGCTGCCGTGTATGAGCCGGTAAGGAGATCCAAACGTTTTGATGCACCGTCCATGTCTGACCTGTTTCCCAGGTTTTACTTTTACTCGATCGCGAGTGGCCGCCCGAGGACCACTCTTTTTTTCCCTTTCCTTCCTTTTCCCCCCTTAAAAGCCTGACCATGAACTCGCGTACGTACTGGCAAATTTCTCCCTTGCCGCGTCACCTAAATCTTCGTTCAGTTCGCTGTGCAGGAATTGGTCTATCATCAGGCCCTTCGAGAAACACTTAATTCTTTTTTTCACCGATCTTCACTCCCCCTTCTCAAGACGCTACTCAAACAATATACAGCAAAGATTTTTTTTGCTTCTGATTCTCGTAGGTCCAATCAAATTCCACTTCTCCACTGTCGCATTGTACTACTAGGGACTGCAATGTTTCCATACTCTTTTTTTTTTGTTTGCACATATTCTCTTTTTCCTCGTTATGCCCACGCACTTCTCGTTTCTCCTTTTCTCATATCCCCATCTCGATTGTGCGCTATATCCCTGTAATTTATCGCTTTTCTTAGTTTTCGGATATTTACGACGCATGATCGCAAGTTGGAATTGTAGACTTCCAGAGCGACTCCTCCTGAAACTCGCGATGCGATCTACGTCTCTCCAGGGCGGGCCAAATGCGGTCCGTTGAATAGGCATTGTCCGGAAAGCTCAGAAGAATGACGCCACGACAGGCTGAGCCAGATAATTAAGCAACCAGAAAGGTCATTTTGATATTGAACGACGGAGAGCTAATCAAGAATAGGTATCGACTACACAACATATCCACACAAAGATATCAAACAACAAGACAAAGACGAGACGACGAGCCAACTCATGAACGGCAGCTGGAGCGTCTGCGTCGTTTCCAATGTACGAACGGGATGAAATATGTACCTTTACTCCTCATCGCCATCGTCCTCAGCTTCGTCCTCGTCATCCTCCCATGCGTCGAGACCGTTAGGTCCTCGGCCAAGGAAGTAGTCGATGGCGTTGGGGTAGACGTCATCAGCAATGACGATGCCAATCTAGGTTAAATGCTGCAGTGAGTCCAGGTCTCTAGGCGACATGACCAGCGGTACACACCTCGTGGCTGTCACCTTCCTGCTGGAAGAGGTTGAAGAAGCTGCCTGCATTGGCCTCGAGGTCCATAGCATCCTCATCATCATCATCATCCTCCTTGGCGGGGTACTTCGAGGATAGGTTCTTGGATTCGTCCTTCCAGTTAATTGAGGTGGACTACGCACGTGACATTAATGAGTACCATTAGACGCCAGGCACAACACAAGATGACCCCCTACCTGAGGGGCAATATGCTCGTCCCAGCTAAAAGCGAGTGCGGCAGGGCTAACACCATCGGCGTCAGCGTCCGTGCTAACGCCGGACGGTGGAATGTAGCGGTACTCCTTCTTGAGGACAGAGTCGGTGAAGTAAGGGTTCTCGTTGAAGTGCTAACGTTGAAATAAGGTTGAAGCATGTCAATCAAAGGTTCAAGAATTATTCTTGGGAAGAAATTTTTTGGTCTACATACGAATTCGAGAGTGAAAGCACGAGATTCATGATGGTCGCGGACGACGTGCACGTCCCGAAGATAGCCAAGGGCGTCCTGGTCCTCCTTGTTTTGCAGGTAGGCAAAGAGCTCAGCGTGCTGGCCGAAAGCCATTGCCCAGAATTTGGGGATCTTGGCGACAACTGCACGGCGCTTTTCGTAGATGGGAGCCAACTTCTTCTCAGCGAGCCGATCTGAAGAGGGGCGATAATGTTAGTCGGGTTGATAGGGCAAGGGAGGTAGAGCCGTACCAATGATGATCTCAGCGCGATCTTGCTCTACAATCATGAAATAATTTTTCGTAAATCAGCGGTCCGGCGAGCCTATTGAGGTAGATTCGAGAGCTGCTCACCCTTAATGAGCTTGTTGAGGTTTTCCATATCGATTTCGCTGATGTCAACGCCGTGACCTGCCTCGTCTGCTGTTCGCTTAGACATGATTAAAGTGCGGTGAGGAGGGTGAGGGAAGGATGAGGAGGGGTGAAAAGGATGGGGATGACTTGAGGCAGAGTTTACACTCGAAGAAATCTGTTGATCTCGACCAAGTCCCACGGTTAGAGGCTGCCTCATTAGCCCCTATTTCATGAAGTCCTACGTGCTCGGTATGGGACGCCCCGCGTCACGAAGAGGGTTGGGAGCAGTCAGGAATGGGAGATGTATGGAGCCTTGCTTAGTGACGCTGAGTCTACAGCCCGATTAACCTACGAAGCGGTCAAGGTTGTCCACGGGCAGCTGGATTCACGACTGTAATTTGACGCGCAATGCCTCCACCATCAAGTCTTTGTGGTGTAGTGGTTATCACGTGTCCTTCACACCTCTATGGTTACGGACAAGGCCCTCGGTTCGACCCCGAGCAAGGACATTTTTGCCTCTCAGTATCCCTACATGTCACATTAGTAGCTTGAGCGGCAACTGTTTGCTCGACTTCAATTCGCGCCCTGGAGCACTTATTTCCTTTATGCTAGGGTACAGTAGTTGGCAGATCTAAGCGCTACGAAAGGAGAACTCCCAAATCCAAGAACGTCCAAGAGTGTACAAAGTAATCCTATTAAACAAATTCCATTCGGCCCTCTTAAGCTAAAGGACGAATACTGTCTCCAAGCCCTTGTACCATCCGTCCACTCCAAGTATCTGTCGAAAAATCTCCTCATGCTGTGGCGGCAGCTCCGGGTTCCGAAGGCTTCTTTTGCTCAGCGCCCTTCGTAGCATCGAGATCGGTTTGTTCAGCCGAAGACTTCAATGTCACAGTCGAGTGATCCACGTTATTTGCATCTTTATCTGGCTCGCTGTCGCCCTTGGTGAGTTCTGGAGGGCCGGCTGCTTTGGGACTTGTGCTTTCAAGCTCCTTCACAGCGTCCGGTCCCACGTTGGTTTTCACAAGGTGTTCGCTGTCCTCTGCCGTTGTGGGAAAATCCGGGAGGTCTTCAGCGTCTTCCTTTTCCCCTATATTAAACTTCAGGAGACCGGCGACAGGTGCTTGGCGTGTTTCCGCGTTGGTGTCGGAGGGATGCTCACTATCCTCTTCCATTGCGGGGTCCGGGAGGTCCTCTGCGTCTTCCTTCACCAGGTCAGACTCCAGGAGCCCAGTGACGGGTGCCTGGTGCACTTCCGTGTCGGTTTCAGGAGGATGCTCGTCATCCTCTTCCATTGTGGGGAAATCCGGGAGGTCTTCTGCGTCTTCCTTCTCCCCTAGGTTAGACTCCAGTAGGTCGGTGACAGGTGCCTGGTGCTTTTCCTCGAGCACATGCAGGGACTCGTCGAGCCGCCTGCTGGCTTCAGAGTCCTCGTGCTTGCCCGGCGCCTGAAGGACGTTGTCGTCATCCGAATCATCTTCTTCTTTATCTTCGACTCCGGCCCACGGATCATCCGACCAGTCGTCGTTCATGTTATTGAAGGTAAAGTCGTCGTCGTGCCCCGTTGCTGAAGTGAAACTAAACGAACAGAAACGCCCCAAAAAGAAAACAAAAGGAAGGCCAACGCAATAACACAACCCATGTTCAGTAACGGAATACAGATATCCGCCTAACAATAAATGATCTCTTCACGTACTTCTTCACTAGTCGCTTCCTCGCCCGATCACCTGCTGCAGTCTCTCCGGTGCCCGGAGGACAATCACGGTCACGACTTCGCTTTCGGGCGTCAGATGGTCCTGGCGGAAGCTCCACAGTCATTTCTTCTACCTCTGCCTCTTCCTCCTCTTCCTCCTCTTCGTCGGCTCCTTCCGTTTGACCCGGCTCCCCACTGTCTGCGTGCCAAGCGAATCGTCCTTTCGTTTTTCTAATTTCGATAACCCTCTCGTAGTCTTCCCGATCAAAATCAAGTTGACGGGATCGAACTCTTTCAACAAGCCCGTTGAGCCAACCACGCTCATGCTCGTTTCGAATGCAATTGACCCAGTATCGATCCATACTGTCCATCAAAGTCCGAGTTCGTAGGTGGCCGTACTCCGTTTGCTCGTTAAGAACATGAAGGATAAGCCCAGCGGATAAATACTCGAGGCCGAGCTCCGAGAGGCACTTGAAGATACGAGTGATCCGAAGGTTGTTGTGCGGAGCATCTGGAAGAGGAACATTTAGTGACCCTCCCTGGTTTAATGTGCCGAAATTATGACTCACACATAAGATTCTTGTAGCGAGACTTGTATTCCGAGGACCTTCGGAGAAGACCAGTCTTCTCGTCCATTAGCCGCATGCCATAGAATCCAAGCATCATCTTGTAGGAATGCAATATACGCCGCATAACGTCTTGGTTCGATTTCATCGCTCTGATCTCATGGAGTTGCAGCGGTTGTGCTTCGAAATTCATGCCTAAAGGGAGGTTTGTCGTTAGGACGAACGCTTAGAACCCGGGAATGGATAAGTCCCGCACCATGCTCCCGTATCGGAAAACTGTCAAATGAGCGCTGTAAGTTGATGATTTAGAAAAAGACGAAAGTATATCTTACAGCCACTGGATGTAACCGTGATTATACTCTAATGTGTCGTAGTCCGTCACCCACCTGGAATCGGGGATAAAAAGATCAGCCAACAGCTATGCTAATCAACCACTCCGCCGTACTCTTCGTGAATCTCATCTATGAGCATGTCATCGGGTTCGCACCGCTCTTCACCTAAGTAGAATCGCAGATTCCTATCCCATGACCTATCCTCTTCTCCGGCCGATGGCAAATCAGGATACCCTTCCAAGAACGTGTCGATGTCTCTTGCTGGTCGTCTGGAGAACATTCGGGAGGCGGAGACGGAGAAAAGGTATGTGTTAGGAGGGAGAGGGGAGGGAGGAGGAGGTGGTGGTGCAAGGCAGGTTTGCACGCTGGCTTGCAGACACAGCTTTGCTCTTTCAGGCTGCTGACGTAATACGGAGAGCACGGACTTGTTGCTCGATCTGGAAGGGTACATATGCATCCCCCAGTTTAATGATATTCGAGAACTAGATAAACTATCAGGCCTCCAAATCTCGTAAGCATCTCTGCCACGTCTTCTCAGGCTCGGAGGCTGTGGGGCAATTCTGCCGCCCGGGTTTCAAGTCACCACCGACAACGACCTCCCAACAAGAGCCCACCCATCTTTCGACCTGACCCAAACTCTCCCCTTGCTCAACTCCATTATCTCCAAACGAGAGTGATTCTTCTGCATGACTCCCACCATTTCTGCTTCAATGTTATCCAAACCAATTTCTTCGCCATGCAAGAAACCGGGTTGCCTCTCGACTGTCGTGAAGCGGACTTTCTGGAGCAGGCGAAGAGACTTGAGGTCGCCAACGGGCACGGGCCTTAGGCGCTGATCAGGAATACTTGGTAAGCTTCGTATAAATTTGCCAAGAGAATCTCTTACCGTACACTCGGGGTCTGTAATGTGCCACTCGAGTTCCTCAAGGCATGGGAATAATGGTGCGACCTGTCGAAGGCTGTCAGGTAGGAGATGCACCTCGTAAATGCAAAGGACACGAAGTGGAATCGATGTCGCTGTGAGAGAGATGAGCGAGCTCCGCGTTATCGCAGTAATGTCCCCTGATGGTAAGAGGACGATCTTGGAGACTGGTCTCCCGCCAACGAAGGAAGCCGCGGATGTGATGTTCCCGGAAAATTCGCACAGCTTGGGAAGCACATCAGCAGGAAGTGGCTCTATCTCTTTACGAGCTATCTCCGCTGAGTGAGGGTCCAAGCGGATGGACCGAAGGTTAGGAGTGTCTCTCAAAAATCCTACGAGCTGTTCCCATTCGGCCATTATTTGTGGTTCGTTGGTGCGGAACGACGATAACCTGTGGAATGTATGAGAAGCTTGCGGTCTAGCTCCGACGTTCAAAATGCGGAAGCGATCTGTAGTGTATTCCAGGTTCTCCAACGAGGGACAGCGGGCGAGGTAGCCCAAAGCTGACGCATGGAGGTTGAACCTTGGGTACCATGCTTTCATAGCGATCTTGAGTGATCTAAATCCGAGAGAGTCGGGGTTCAAGTCTGGGGTAATAAATTCCCTACTTAAGTTGATATCCCGAAGCTCGACGAACTCGATTCGGCGAAGCTTGAAGAGTTCTGCGTACATCTCGGGGTCGAGCGTCACCGAGCTCATGAAAACGCCCCGAAGGTTGGTCAAAGTCCCCACTCTCTGAGGGAGCGATGTTCCGCCAGGTATAGTTGTAAGGTAGTCTGGCCAATTATCGAGGGCCAGGTACTCGATCCGTGAGTGCTTCTCTGGATGGGCGTCCAGATAATCGAGCAGCTGTTTGCCCTTCTTCAAGTCCTCAGCAGTTGTGTCTCTCCTGCAGCTAAGCTCGAGGCTTTCTAGAAGCAAAGGCTCGGCGATGGATCGTAGTGTTCGGCAGGTGAGACAAAGGCTGTGGAGCGTGGGTTTGTGTAAGGGGTCGACTTGGCCGAATTGGTATCTGTCGTCGTTATGGACTCGACAGAAGTCGACGATCATCATCCACACCTCGAGTGGGAGAGTGGGTAAGGCAGATTTGTGGCTATGTGAGAATCCGGGTTCTACTGTGGCTTGAGATTTTGAAAGTAGCACGTCATCGTCTGCCATTGTATCTAACGGGGATATGGGCCCTGAGCATCCAGAAATACCAAATTATGCGAGCTAAATAATGCTCACCGAAACTGTTTTGAAGTAAGGTGAACTCACTAACGCGCCGGGCGTCTACTGCTAGGGAAGGGGTAGATGGACAAGAGCTCCAGGTGTTGACTGCCTGGTCTTCGCAGAACAGGGGTGAGAACGGCCTTAACGGCCTTCAAGTTCAGCTTCTTCTTTCTCTCACCTGGCAACAGCCTTCTAGACTCATCTGCCGTAGAAGACTTTCTGTTTTTGGGCAAAAGGTCCTCTCGAAGGCAGCTGACCTCGAGCGATTTTGGGGGGTATCCGCGGAGTGTATATGTCGTCTGCCTTCGTGTGTCGGGGTTGTCATTCATGCCGCCGCCCGTTCGTATTGGAACGCTTACACGGCTAGCCTCACATCTGGCCTCTGTTAAGCTCAAAGTTGCAACTAAAAAGCGTAGAATCATTCATGTGAGTTAGTTCTTCCTTTGCGTTGGACTGGAGGGAAATTGCCTTATTTGGGAAATCGCGGTCCTCCAACAACAACCGAGGCATTTCCTTGTCGAATCTATCCATGTGTACGTCCCGCCTAGACCGCAGTCCCTCCTAACCCACAGCAGGTATAAACACCGGAGGGACCTCGCGCTTTGCAACTTTGTCTCTGCGTCGCTCTCCCTCCCCTTTCCCCTTCCACTTCACTCTACCATGCCGCCCAAACAGAAAGCTAACCAAACCACGAACAATAATGCAAACAACCACAGTGGTCCGGACAACAAAGCTAATGGCGCACAAGATACGAAAGGCGCAGGAGTCGGAGGGACGGAGATTC